GGCCCTAAAGTACGTCACACTTTCGAACAGTTTTTTTTTTTAAAATTAGACCTAATTAAAATTTTATCTAAAACACACTTCACTATTAAACTGTATTAAAAATAAAATTTCCACTTACTTAAAAGAACTATCACATTATTAAAATGACTTCAATAGTAAAATAGTTAATGTCAACAGTTGTCACAGTTATTCATTGAAACAGTAACTCAATCTAGAACTAGATTGAATTTGAAAACAAAAATTGCACAAATTAGACTAGACAATTATATAATACACATCATTTATCTGCTGTTTTTTCATTTACAAAGTTGAGGTCAAGTTTTAGATAATCTTCCAATTATGCAATCTTTTTTACACAGGATAAAATGTAGATTAGGGAAACTTGACCTCACCCAGTGATTAAATATTAAAAAGGACAGTGACATAATTATGCAGCGGACAACATAGAAATAATAATACTTCAGGCATGACGAAACAAGGCTTCCCAACAGTTTTGACATAAAACTAGATCTAATTCGAATGTTTCACAGAATTTTTGAAAATTATTTTTAAAGCTATTAAATTATACTCCTAAAAAAAATATAAAAAATGAATTAGAAATGAAATTTACAACAAAAAAAATAAATGTGTGACGTCACACATGGCCTGAAACCCCCCCCTCCCCCTGTCACACTTTCTTACACATNAAAAAAAATTATTAAAGAAACAATCTATACGACTCCAAGAAGAAACAGCTGCGAGTTACAAATTAATTTCAACTACATAAAATGTCTACCAACAGTTCTGTAGTCACAAAAGCAGCCCTACCCACCCCCCCCATCTGAAGTGTGACGTACTTTATGGACGGCCCCCCTACACATCATATTTTAAAATATCAATTATTTATAAACACGCATCATTAAAAAATATTACGGGTTTTACAAATATGTTTCAATAAGTTAAAAAAGTTAAGTCATATGTAAAGTTAATGACCGGCTAATAAGCCTCTTTCGGGCCTCTCTGTGGGTAGAATGGAAAGGGGGGGGGGCAAATTCCCCGGGGAATGTCGAGTGCCCTACGGAGCAAAATGCGTAAAAACAATAGAACGATTATATATTTTTAAAATTAAAAACAACTAAATTGTCATTTTCAAACAGTTTTGAAAAGTAACTGGTGCTTTGTCCGATTACAATTAGAGGTAACTATTAAATAACTCTACGCTCGATGTATTGAAGGATCCGTACATTTAAGGCTAATCTTGTTAAAGGCTTATACTGTTGGATTAAAAATATCGTACTGGCCGCTTCTGATTATAAGCCGAAGCTTACCTCATGTTGTTCGCACTTATCGGTATTTTTATTCTTTTTAGTTGTTTTTTTGTTGTTGTTTTTGTGTGTGTGTGTGTGTGTGTGTGTGCAAATTCACACATTTCAAGACTTGAATAGCACTGCATTAAAATACCTTTACATCAAGATCAAGGACTTCAATTCTAACAATAGTTCTTGCCAAGTATCAAACATATGCAGTCTATGTTCTAATTATATTTCATTAGAAAATTATTGATAGGTGTTAATTATAAATGTACTCGATTCCATGAATGTGGAATTACATAAAATGGAAATGAAAAAAATTGAGAGATATTTTTTTTTTTTAATTAAGATTTTAACGGGCGCATACAAATAGTGCAAATTTCATTAATTATATCGAAAAAAATTTGTATTTTCTTTAAACGTGCTACGTTTGTAACAAATTTTAATGAATAATAGAGGTTTTAAAAAATGTTTTGCCAATATTTATTAAATTCCCACCAGCTGTTATCTTGTTAATATTAGAATAATAAACAAACTGCCCATCTGTTTGCAAGAAATGCTTTTAATTAAAAATATATTTTTTTTCAAGATAAGAATCTATCAGAATAACTAAAATAAAGAAGATGAACTAGCATTTCGATTATCATGCTAATTCCTTTTTCCTTTTTTGTTGATACTTGTTTTAAAATAAATTCTTATTCCTAAGTTGTCATTTTAAAATAAATTCTGTGGATTTGGGACCACAAAGTATTATAAAGTATATCTAAGTGGCAATTGTAATTTGTCTGAAAAAAGTTATAGTAGTTTGAAATTCCAACAAACATTTTTCAGTCAACTGAATAATGTGAAATTTCCATTATTTTGTGAACACCTCGTGTATTCTTTACATAATAATACTGTTTATATACGATTTATAAAAAAACCAAGTGGCTATTTGGACCCCGCTACCAGAGAGGTTGGGATTAAAAAAATGTTTAAAATATTATAGTTGGGTTTGTAAGATAAATTTGGTATCCAATGAAAGATCATTGAATAGACTATATTTATGTAAACTTAATTCTTCAGTTTAACTAAAATAAACTACCACAAATGACGTCCGAATAGCATTTAGTCGAAATGGAACCGGACACGCATCGCCTCTATTCGGACCCAGGTCCCATTTTGAATATGTACCCTCACATTCTACACCCATTCCCCCACACTGATCAATGCTATAGTATGGGGTTGAATATAAGCTTGTGCCAAATGATTACCCTGGGCAACGCCACAACCTGAGTGAATTCAGTTTATGTATGGCACTGAATGCCATAATGTCTCCCACTGACGATTGAAACATTCTTTCCCCGGATGCTGTAGTCTAAGAGAAACATTAAATTCAGGTATGCTTCAAAATGCACCTTTTGATTTTGAAATAATCCAAAATTTGTTGGGGAGGGCTCCCCAGACCCCTCCCCTTTTACTTAAGAGCCAACCGTACGCTCAATTTCTGCCATTGTTCCCTAAAAAATGACAGTACAGCTGGCGCTGATATTAAAGTTAATGGGTGAATAATTTGTCACATGAAAAGTTAATGGGCGTCTAATATGTCACAAATAAAGTTAATGGGTGACTAATATGTCACAACTAAAGTTAATGGGCGTCTAATATGTCACAACTAAACTTAATGGGTGAATAATTTGTCACATGAAAAGTTAATGGGCGTCTAATATGTCACAACTAAAGTTAATGGGTGACTAATATGTCACAACTAAAGTTAATGGGCGTCTAATATGTCACAACTAAAGTTAATGGGTGAATAATTTGTCACATGAAAAGTTAATGGGCGTCTAATATTTCACAAATAAAGTTAATGGGTGACTAATATGTCACAACTAAAGTTAATGGGCGTCTAATATTTCACAAATAAAGTTAATGGGTGACTAATATGTCACAACTAAAGTTAATGGGCGTCTAATATTTCACAAATAAAGTTAATGGGTGAATAATTTGTCACATGAAAAGTTAATGGGCGTCTAATATGTCACAAATAAAGTTAATGGGTGACTAATATGTCACAAATAAAGTTAATGGGCGTCTAATATGTCACAAATAAAGTTAATGGGTGACTAATATGTCACAAATAAAGTTAATGGGTGACTAATATGTCACAACTAAAGTTAATGGGTGACTAATATGTCACAACTAAAGTTAATGGGTGACTAATATGTCACAACTAAAGTTAATGGGCGTCTAATATTTCACAAATAAAGTTAATGGGTGAATAATTTGTCACATGAAAAGTTAATGGGCGTCTAATATGTCACAAATAAAGTTAATGGGTGACTAATATGTCACAAATAAAGTTAATGGGCGTCTAATATGTCACAAATAAAGTTAATGGGTGACTAATATGTCACAAATAAAGTTAATGGGTGACTAATATGTCACAACTAAAGTTAATGGGTGACTAATATGTCACAACTAAAGTTAATGGGTGACTAATATGTCACAACTAAAGTTAATGGGTGACTAATATGTCACAACTAAAGTTAATGGCTGACTAATATGTCACAAATAAAGTTAATGGCTGACTAATATGTCACAACTAAAGTTAATGGGTGACTAATATGTCACAACTAAAGTTAATGGGTGACTAATATGTCACAACTAAAGTTAATGGGTGACTAATATGTCACAACTAAAGTTAATGGGTGACTAATATGTCACAACTAAAGTTAATTGGTGACTAATATGTTCAGCAAACTTATTTCAATTTCAAGTGACATTTAATAAAGTATATCTGCTAATACTAATAAAGAGCGGAAGGTGAGGTGTATTGCTTAAAGGCTGACAGGTAGGGTGTATTGCTTAAAGGCTGACAGGTAGGGTGTATTGCTTAAAGGCTAACAGGTGGAAGTATTGCTTAAAGGCTGACAGGTGAGTGTATTGCTTAAAGGCTGACAGGTAGGGTGTATTGCTTAAAGGCTAACAGGTGGAAGTATTGCTTAAAGGCTGACAGGTGAGTGTATTGCTTAAAGGCTGACAGGTGGGTGTATTGCTTAAAGGCTGACAGGTAGGGTTCATTGCTT